TAGTAGGGTTGACAATTACTTTGTTATTGAGCCTAAGAACAGCTAGCCTACGGTGTAGATCGCGGGTCTACACCGTAGGCTAAAGAACAGCAAGAAACAAATTCGTCCAGGAAAACATGGGAATAGAATCTTTATCTGCCCCTTAGGCCTGACAATGACATGCTAAAATAAGACCATGTCAAGTCCATAATGTAAACAAATCCTTTGTTTACATTTTGAACTGCTATATTTGTGAAATAAGACATACTAACTGAATATCTAACACTTTTCTGGTTCGCAATTGTAAATGAATATAAACTAGAGTACGTTTCAATTCAAAAAAGTTCGAAAGATGCAAAATTTGCGCAATGTTTATATCTGCGGGTCCCCCTTTGTTATGAGCAGAACTGATGTGCAGAACGGACTTGACATGGTCTTTAACATGGAAACAAGGCTATTGCGTAAACAAGAATAATTAGTAAGGTTATTGGGGCTGTTTCTGGGGGACATTACCCCCGCACCCTAGTCATAAAATCGCTGCCCATTCCCTGCAGTTCAACAAACTGTACATTTTTTTAAAAGTTTTTATTTCATGTATTTGTAGTGACATGCCAGGAATGCCGAACATGCAGATGTACTCTCGCGAGGAAATGATGGAAATGTCCAAACAAGGATCGCAGTCTGAAGATGAACCCGAATCAGATAGTTCAGAATATACAACACATCCCGGGGGAGACCTTTCAATATGGGATGCAATTGTTCAACTGTTCAAAGATATTTGGAACTGGATAAGAGATTTGTTAGGAATAAGAGAGAAAGCTTCAGGGGAATTGTAGGAGTGTATCGAAGTTTAACCAGCTTGGTTGAGCTCATTAGGGGGTTGGAATGCCAGACGACAAAAAATGAATTCTCTGCAACTACAAACATTTTGCATGCCCACAGAGTCGCATTTCAACTTGTTGTTTTGAACATCAAAATTAAAATGTTTACATCTACAATGGACGAGTATGATTTCTTTGTTGCTGTTAAAAGTTTGCATGCCCACAGAGTTACATTTGAACATCAAATTGATTTTGTTTATATGATGGACATCACAATGAATGAGTATGTTTTTTTTTGTTGTTATTTTTACAGCAGACAATAAAATTCGAGGTGTTGTGTGATCGTTTTGTTTTTTAAATAAAATTGCCTCAGCATTTTTTCTTACTGGGAACAGGTTATTGCAGTAGAATAGTGGATAAATATCGGCTATTTTAAAATATTTGACCGAAAATATTCATTTATGCTGTTGTACTGTTATTACGTTATTTTACTGACCATCCATAAAAGAAGGCAAATTTTATAGGCCTGGCTGACCTCAGAGCAGACCTCAAAACTATCTAATGTGTGCTTGATTAACGTTTAACAAATTTTGCGGAATATGCAAAATAGCGGAATCTTCGAACTGATCATGTATAGACCTGCATGTATTATGTATAGACCCGCAAAACGGGTTTAAATTTTCTACTAAACAGGTAGAACTGGTCCCAGGACTATCAGGGGACGGTTGTATAAAAAATTGATTAAAGTTAACTATAGTTAGTGGACACGTCATCCAATAAGCGCGTATTTCAGAGTTAATCACTATTTAGTAATAGTGATTAAAAAGTGATTAAGAGTTTTACACAACCGGCCCCTAGCCACAGTCAAAAATTTGGTGTTACACGCCGCTTTCACAAGTACGTTTAGCCAGTAAATTCACAACGTAGCTAACTGAAATTCCCAATTTCATTAAATTTCCGATTCATTAATATTTGCTACTGTAAGTTGCCAACATTGTAAAACAGTAAAATATTTAATAAATAACAGCGTCTGTACATTTATATACAACTCAGGAGTCAGGACTGTAGTCAAGTCTATGCCTTGGACAAAAAAAAATGCGATTCTGTATCATTTTACTTTCAAAATGATGCCTACTGATATTGTGGTGGCAAAGACATTCTTATTTTGTGGAGGGATAACTAATGATGCCTTGCCTGATTTGTCGATACATCAAACCTCTGAAGCTCCCTGACTTTCTTGCATCACCAAGACCTCTCTATTTTCATACGTCCAGAAACCATTCAAGTCAATCAAAATACTCGCTACTGTCTCTCCTTGACCACTACATGGTGTTAAAAATAATTTAATATTAAATATAGGGCAAATAACAGGATTTTGGGAATCTACCTTATAATATGCCCAAAATTCCGACATTTAACCATGCACCTTATATTGGCATCACCTTGGCTTCAGGGATGGATCCAGCATGATCTGGTAGGGGGGGGGGGGGGGGCTCTGCCAGCTCTGGTGCCGAGTTGCATCGGTCATGTGTGCCGCCCGCCCATCAACTTGCTTCACTACCGCAAAGTCTTGGTTGACTACTGTATTTGAATTGTATAATTGTTGTCAGTTCGCTTATCATCATGTTATTACTCAAATTACTGTATCTCATTTTGCCTCTAATAATTTTTTGCTTTATCATGAAAAATAGCACCCCCCCTGCACTCCCTCTGGCCAGGGATAAGGGGTGCACACACACACACACCCCGCACCCCTCCAGTAAATCCATCCCTGCTTGGCTTAACGCATATTTTCACTTGGGAAAATTTTCCGCAAAGAAAATTTTGTAAAATGTGATTGGCCGATTAGTAAAGGCTGCGCGATCGTGGCTTTAAACCTAATAAAACACTCCTGCTCGTTTATTAAACAGTACTTAAAATCTCTTGTTTGTGTACAAAGTTGAACTGGTCTATGGACTACAGGTATTTATCATATAAAGTACAATGCTTTATCGAGATTTCGAGCACCGATAAAACTGATTATCTCACATGTGAGATTATTTATATGTGAAAATTATCGCTTTTCAATTGTCACTTTTCTGTAAAAATTATCGCTTTTCAAAGACTGTCCTTATAATACATGGGTGCTTGGAAATACCAGATTTATTTCTCGTGTTGAACATGATATCTCATGAGTGAGCGCAGCGAACGAGTGAGATATCATGTTCATGCAACACTCGAAATAAATGAGGTATTTCCGCGCATCCATGTATTATTCTCTATATATACGAGGTCTACACGAGAATTATTGACAGATATCGATCAAATAGACAAATACATAGAAAATTCTGAGGAACGAATCGTACACGATTAATTGCATGCGTAAACTTAGCTTTACTCCAAAGTTCGTTATAGTTATGAAAATAACACGTTCAATGGACAATGCACATTTTTAACACAGCGTAAAACTACTTAAATTACACATTTATTTCTTTGGAAATGTAAGCTCAAAATGCCTAACCTTAATTCCTCTTTTTGCTTGATCATTAACAACACTTTTGCCATGAACATCTCACTTGAAACGATTTCGATATTGTGCATGCATTGAATCTTGCATCCATGGGCAAGCTTTGAAGGTGATCACGACTTGACCACGACTAATTTGCATGCTGAACCCGAGTTTTGCTAATTCAACTGTATTCTGCAGACAATACCATGACAAAGCTTGTGGAAGTCACTCTATTGTAGTCGTGTTTTAAGTCATTTAACACACTTGTTCTGTTTTATCATACAGGGTGTATAAAAAAAACGCAACCTCGGAATTTCCTAAGAAATACTCTGCAATTCTTAAGCATAAAAGATTTTAGGCCCCTGGGAAATTAAATCGAATTGCTAATAGATCATATTACTGTTGTTGTGCATTAATTAAATAAATGCATAAATTTTGCTTTATGCACTCGCGCGTGCAGTAATTTTGACAGTTGTGCTATTTTAAATTCCCAGGCACCTAAAATCTTTTCTCTTTAAAACAATGTCGATTTCTTGCGAAAT